GGGGGCGCTCTGGTGCTGCTCGTGGACACGTTGCTGCGAGCCTGGCTGCACTTTCTGCAGGCTGCCATCCATGAGGAGACCCATTGGGGGGGCTGTCAGTATCCAGGAGGCCCTGCGGGAGAGCTTCCACCCTGAGGAGCACTAAGAGCCTCCCTGGTCTGCCTCACTGGGGGCTTGTGCCTCATTCCTCCCTCACGTCCTTCCACCTACCCCTCCCTAACCCCCCTTCCTGATGTAAAATAAAATACACGTATTTTCATTAACACAATGTTTTTTTATTTAACAAAACTGGGAGGGAGGGAATGAAACTCTGGTGAGACTGGGGAAAGGAGGCGGGAGAGGGGAGAGAGAAACCTGGGAAGAGGGAGCTGGAAGGGGGAAGCAAGGGGAAGAAGGGGGAGGGAAGCTCAGGGTCTCACTGGACCAACGTGATTGTCATGCAAATCTGTTCCTGGGTTCACATGTGGCCTTTGGTGGTGAGGTTGGCAACTATCCTGCCATAGATGGCCACGTTCCTCCGTCTAGTGTGGAGATCATGGACGTTGGAGGATTCCCCCCAAACCTCAATCAAATCCATGATCTCTGCACTGGACCAGGAAGGCGCTCGCCTTTTCTGGCCCCTGGGAGCTTGCAGACTGCTCCTGGGGAACGGTGGAGGGCTGGCTGGCAGGCACGGCAGCAACTGCTGGCTCTGGGCTGGCAGGCCTGAAGCTGACATAGGCACTGTGGCCAAACAAACTCTACCCCTTTAAGGACTCCGGGGAGGGTGGGGAGGAGAGGAGTTTTCCTGGTTGTGGCCAGAGTGGCCACCAGGGCACCCTGGGAAGGGCTGGAGGCCCCCTATTTTGAAATGAGTGTCTACATGGCACTTACTTCGAAATAGCAGTTTTTAAATTGGTGTTATTCCTTGTGGAATGTGGTTTACCAATTTTGAAACAAGCCCTCCGCTATTTCGAATTAATTTCAAAGTAGCGGTTTGGCTATGTAGACGCTAGTGAAGTTATTTCAAAATAACGGCTGTTATTTCAAAATAACTTTGCTGTGTAGACATACCCTAAAACTTTAAGCTTTATACAGTACAGGCCACAGCACCTGTAGCTGCTAAGATTTTCAATGGTTACATGGTTACCTTTTTAACTGACTTTTTACATCCCTGGTGTATTATTGCACTCTTACATCTGAACAGCTTTCACAAGTAGATGGCCAGAGAGTAGCAGCCGCTTGCCAAATATTTAGGTCTGAAAGCTGTGTCCTTCCAGCAGCATGCAAAAGTAGGGTAGCAATACCATCAGTCATCAGCCACAACTCTCCATCTCTGAAGGCAGCAGCACAGAAGTAAGGGTGGCAATACTGCAATACCCCTACAATACCCTTGCAAACCCCCTTAGTCCTCCCAACATCTTTTTGGGTCAGGACTCCCACCATTAGCACACCATGAAATTTCAGATTTAAAAATCTGAAATAATTAATTTTACTGTTTTTATAATAATAGCACCATGAAATTGATCAAAGTGGACTGTAAATTAGGCAGGGCCCTACAGAGCAGTTAGATTACTTTGAAATTCGGTGTGCTTCATGAGGGTGCCATGAGCTCAACTTTCAATGAATTTAAAGCTAACTATAATGACAAACCCCACAAAAGAATCATGGCTGGCAATTTTGTTGGGGAGGAGGATAAATGTAATGAAAGCATTTGAGAAAGAAAAAGTTAGACATGGTTCCTGGGAGTAGGGTTGCCAGATAGTTTAACCAAAAATACTGAACCCCCACCCCCCAAAAAATGGGGAAAAAATTCTGTTGAGGAAAAAAAGAGGGAGACCAAAGTTGTTGAGCAAAAAAAGGGGGGGGGATCTGACAGCAGTTATTAAGCAAAAAAACAAAACAAAAATCAACATGGCCCCTTTAAGAAGAGGCTTTTTTGCCGGTGGCCATCTGTTTTTCTATTCCAGCCACAAGACAAGCCTCTGTGGAACCAGGTAAGCAGGGGGGGCTGGGCCTAGTTGCTGAGTGTGTGTAGGGTTGCCAGGTGTCTGGTATTTTTGCCTCCTGGCAGGGGGGAAAAACAGAAAATACCAGGCATTTTAGGTGTCCGTTTTTTTCTGAATTTTTACCGGACAGGAGGCAAAAATAACAATGTCAGAACCAATACTGGACACCTGGCAACCCTACCTGGGAGGGAAGGGGTATAGAGGGTAGTGGAGAATGGGATAAATTGGGATGGTAAGTTGCTGCTTAGACAAGTTACATATCCCACCACCACCATGAGGCTACTTTAATATGGTCCGCACAACCTATTTTTTCCTTTAGCCTTGTTCTCTAGAATGCTATACCTTTTGCTATACCTTTCCAAAAAATTCAGTCCAAGGCAGACACCCAGCATAGAAAACTTCATACCTCAATTTTTCATGCTGGCAAAATTTAGTGCATTTCAACCAAAAATAGTCTTAAAATGGAAAGTGATAAATAACACTAAGGCTACGTCTACATTGGCCCCTTCTCCGGAAGAGGCATGTTAATTTCCAACTTCAGAATAGGGAAATCCGCGGGGGATTTAAATATCCCCCGCGGGATTTAAATAAACATGGCCGCCACTTTTTTTCCGACTTGGGGAAAAGCCGGAAAAAAGCGTCTAGACTGGCGCGATCCTCCGGAATAAAGCCCTTTTCCGGAGGATCTCGTATTCCTACATTACAAATAGAGATTTAAAGGGGTAACTGTGCATTGCCTTACTAGCATGTTTACTGAGTAACTTTGAAGTAGGAATAAGAATATTCTTAAGAATAACCATAGCTGGCAACTCTCCTTATAATTTTTCATATTGGTTTAATGCAGTCATCTTTTGTTCAAGTGTTCTAAACATTAGTAACAGTCAGGCAACACTAAAAGGATTTAAGCCCCAATTTAGAAAAACACTTGAGCATATGCTTGATTTGCAGCACATTTGTAATAGTTTTGAAGACAATGGCTCTACTAACTTGATTAAAGTTAAGCATATGTTTTAGTGTTTGCTGAATTGGGGCCACAGTTTTGCCCTCTTAAAGCTGTTTGTTTATTCACTGATTGTTCTAACTATCTCTTAAACTTCATACAAATACAACACTAAATCTGAAGAACCTTTTTCAGAAATATTTGAAGTCCTGTGTCCCTTAGTAATGTGAAGTGTAGGAATATCTAAATAGCATTACAAATAGAGATTTAAAGGGGTAACTGTGCATTGCCTTACTAGCATGTTTACTGAGTAACTGGTTAGCTGGAGCCTGGCCTGACTGGGACAGAGCAGCCCTTGCCTCCCGCAATGCAGTGGGCCCTTTTTTTCCCTATGAGCAACTACGTTCTTTCAAAATAAAATTGTAATTTTCTTCTAGTATCCACAAGGTGGTGAGCAATCTCTTTTCTGAGATCTATGGCTTTGGCCATAAGGATTATGGTTTTATCTGAGTAGCACTTGTAATTTATTTTACAGTAGAAGGAAATATTTGTTTTTAAGAACTAGGGATGTGAAAATCTTAACCAAGTACACCATTAACTGATGAGCCTAGGTTACATGCAGATTCCTGGTAGGCAAGTGGAGCCAGCTTTTAAGCACACCAGCTCCCAGGGAACCACCTGGAAGCAGCGTAAGGGAAGTGCGGGAGGCGGGAACCAGCACACTGACTCCCAGGAAGCCATCTACTGTCTGGCTATGTCTAGATTGGCATGATTTTCTGGAAATGCTTTTAACCTGACACCTGAGTTTTGTGATATGCATTTTCTAGGGGAGTGCAATTATTTTGGCAGCTTACATAGAGAGACATAGCAAGGAGCAGAGCCCTTAGTATTAGGATCAAAACTTTGAAAATATTTCTTGTGGAACTGTGTTCCAGTAGCTGGAAGAATAAGGTCTTATTTTTAATTTCCTTGAGAGAAATGATACTGCAGCTTGGCTTAAGTCAGGGGCTGGCAACCTGTGGCTCATGTGCCAAATATGGCTCAGTAGGACGCCAAATATGGCACCATATTTGGCTGTCCAGTGAGCTAGAGCAGGAACCAGGCCTTCTGGGATAGCTGCACTGTGGCCCAAGCTCCAGCCCCAGAGGCCACCATGCAGCCTGGTGGAGCTGCATGGCAGGCTGCTGCCTCGTGCTGGAGCTGGGTCGTGGTATGGCTGCTTCTGTGGCCAAGACCACTGGCACACGGGGCAGCTGCCCGCCACATGGCCCTGCCCCTGGAGCAGCTGGGCAGTGACCACACAGCCCTGGCTCCAGCTTCAGCCTTTCCCTAGGACTGGAGCTGCAGCCAGGGTGGGCTGTGTGGTGGCTGCCCAGTTGCTGTCGGAGCAGGAGACTTGCCCCGTGTGCTGGAGCTCGGGCTGGGCCTGCGGAGTGGCTGCTTCCATGGCAGCCTGGCCAGCAAGGCCCCAATCAGGGCCTAGCCCTCTTCTGGCTGCAGCATCCTGTTTCCAGCCTCTATCTGGCTGCAGGAAGGGTTGACGGCCACCTCCTGCTGAGGCATGAATAGGAGGGGAAGCCACGATCCAGCTGAGGCAATCCTAGCCCTGCCCCTCATACAGCCACTGCTGGCCTGGTGCAGTAGTCCAGCCCTAGCCAGGTAAGGTAATCTGGCCCCACCCCCGTACTCTGGTTCCCTTCCCCACCACCCTGCCCTGCATCTTTCACCTCTCACACACCCCAACCCCCTGCCCTGAGCACCTCATACATCCCAGCCCTGACTCCTGTACCCCCATATCCCCAACCCCCTACCATAAGATTGACAGAAGACAACCTGAATGCATGCATGAAGCTGGATTTTACTGGTTATGTGTAAACTTTAAAGAAATGTGGGAGAAGATGCAGCAGTAAAAGTCCAATTAAATAAAGTCTGTGAGTACAGAGTTTCATTTATGCTATTATTAATCATATCAATTATCAATAATATTAAGTTGTATATTTTTCAGTGGTGCAAATGGGCATTCTTATTTGGCTTTCTTGACCACTGGTTCTGAATTTTGATGTACTTTGGCTCTTTGGTTTGAAAACATTGCTGACCCCTGGCTTAAATAATGCAGCCCCATGCAGAGCTCTTCTGACTCAGATAGTGCAGGAATGTTGTTACACCTGCTAGGTATCACTGTGGATAAGTATATTAAAAAGTAATCAAGAATTTCAGAGGAGACAGTTGGTGCTAAATTAACAAAGAGAAGATGCCACAATTGCTCCACTGTGTATAGGTTATAGAACAGGAGAGGGCAATAATTTTTGGAGAGGATCAATCCAAGAATTTGGTAAGTGGTCACGGGTTGCATTTTTCTACTATATTAATGGAGGAGGGGGCTTGGCGTCTGGGAGGGAGTTTGCGTGCAGGAGAGGATTCTCACCTAGGGCAGGAGGCTGGGGTGAAAGAGAGGGTGGGGGTTCCAGGTATATGTTCTGGCCCACATGTGCTCACTGGCTGCAGGGTGAAGTGATTTAAAATCAAGGCCGTTTAAATCATTAATTTAAATCACGAAGAGAAAATCATTGTAATGGTTTACTATTTCACATATTTCTCAAGCAGCAGTGCAAATCTGATCACTAAAATGTTAATTTATAACTCAGTAGAGTCTTTTACAACATTAGGAGGTCATACTTTATGTAATTTTTAGATAAAAATCAAGTTATCAATTTAGGAAATAGTACATAATACTCATGACCTGTGACATGTTGCAGATGCACTGGGAATAGTAAGAACTATATCACACATACAATAGCACTTATGCTTTATTAAACTAAATCTTAAATGTTACATAAATGCTTCACATTTGCAGCAGTCTCCTAAGTTCCTGGATGATGGCTAACTGAAGGTAGGGAAGTCGGTTGGGTTGTGGAGAGTTGTGGGTTCAAGTCCTCCCCCTGCCCACAACAAATGTCTGGTATCTTTAAAACTTCTTCAGCTATCTATCATCTTCCCCACTCCCAATGTTATTTTGATTCATAGACCAAAATAGAAATATGAGTTTTCCTGCTTTTTCAACCCCCAACCAATTTTTTTTTTTTTTAGCTTTGACTGAATATCACCAAACAATGAAAATATTGCCTAAAGAGGAAGCTACCGCTGTGAGAAGTAGGCTTAGGAACTTTGTTTTCAAGGTGCCTGGTTAATGATTTCCACTAAGGATGTAAAAATCCCAGTTAAAAAGTTAACTGGGTAAACAATGTTTAACTGATTAACTGTGATCCCATGGTGGGGGGGGGGGAGGTCAAGTGGGTGGCACTAAGGGCTGTTCTATTCTGGCCAGGCCAGGCCGAGGGGAGCTGTTCCAGCCAAGCCCACTGCCAGTTAACTGGTTACCCCAGTAAGCATGCTGGGAAGTCACATGCCTACCAGGTAACCAGTCAACCCTTTACATCCCTAATTTCCACCAATTTCAGAGGAGTGACTTTATTCACAGCATCAGTAAACATGTACTGATCAAACGGTTTTGCTCCAGCCCTGAAATTGATTATGACTGACATAACTGAAGATTAGTTTTGAGATGCAAATGCCATGGCATCATCACCTTCAGAAATTAAGCATTTACCTTTATTTCTGTGGTTAAGAATATTTGCAAGAAAATTAAGTGGAGTTAGTGCTTGAGCCATTTGCTTCTTTGTCTGCCATTTAACTTTTTGATGAGGTATTTCTTTTGTCAACATCTTTTGAAGTGCCTTCCAGATTTTGACACCATCAGCAATATAGCAGCAATTTCTCTGAAGTTTGTATAAGGCTATGGATATAGCCTTCAGTATACTGAGCATATCCTCCTCATTCTTCTTTAATCTTGTGTTAGATACTTTGGATGAGATATTTCCATCTATTTTTGTCATGGTTATCTTTGCAAAGTTTTATGAGAATAAATTGTTCAAAACAATCAACCACAGAATTCCATCAAACTCCTTGAGGGAGAATTAGTTTGGATCCTCCTGCTTTCTTTACTGCAGCAAAATGGCTGTTATGGAAGTATTTTGCAAATTCAACAACATTATCTTTTATTCCTGGAGAAGACATACTTAAGACTTAGGCTAATAGATACATTAAATAGGCACTCCATCCATATACTGGAGCATCCTTCCATTTCTTCTACGTTTCTTCCAATTTTTGCTATGTTTATAGCATCGTCTGTGACAAAACTGTGCATTTGACAGTTGAATGCTTGTTCACAGATTATTACAGCTTTCATTGCCATTTCTTTTAAATATTCTGTTGTGTGTGAACATTTCTTTTTTCAGAAAGATATGCAACCCTTGTGTTAGATCACAGAAATCTCTTTGGGATTGTTCCCTGTTGTACTAATGAAGCCACTGATGCCCACCTATCTGCCTTTGGAACTCTCCACCACCTCGTCTTGCTGGGCCAGAAGCTCTGGTCTCCCCAAGCCAAGGTACAGGGTTGGGTTACCACCTCCCTGCAAAGCAACACAGTCACTGAACCATTTCAGCTCTGGAAGGGCTCAGCTGTAAGGGCTCAGCACTCATCATCAACTCCCAAAAGGGACCAAAATCCCAAATAAATATGTTTTACTCTGTGTAAAAGTTTTACACAGAAAGCTCATAAATTTAGCCTCCTTTATCAATGAAAGAGATATACACTGAACTTGATAATAAACAAAAGTGTTTCTATTAAGTATAAAAAGTAGGACTTTGGTTACATGTGAAAACAATCAGATCAAAGTAAGTTACTAAACCAAAATAAACTAAGCAGGCCAGCTAATCCTAATCCACTAAGAAAATTCTTATACAGGCAGTCCCCGACTTACGCGGATCCGACTTATGTCGGATCCGCACTTACGAACAGGGCTTTTCTCGCCCTGGAGCTCGCGGGCGGCGGTACCGCCCAGAGCGCAGCGGTCCCACCACCACGTCCTCCGGGACGAGAAAAGCTGCTCTGGGTCTCCCTGGTGTGCTGGGGGGGACTCCCCAGCACATCAGGGAGACCCGAGCAAAGCCGCACAGGCGGCGGGACCCCGCTGCCCATGCGGCTTTGCTCCTTTGCCCCGGAGCAAAGCTGCACAGGCGGCGGGGTCCCCCGCCTCTGCGGCTTTCATAAAATCATAGGACTGGAAGGGACCTCCAGAGGGCATCGAGTCCAGACCCCCGCCCTCAAGGCAGGACCAA